ACGAGGTAACATCGTCACAACAAAATTCAAGATAACAAGGCAAGAAAACTCACCAGCGAATCCCTAAAAAACGTTATATATATTCTACATCTGGAGTTTTCTTGACTCGTTAGCTTGAATTTCGTTTTGACAATGTTACCTCGTTCTGATGATGTCTGTCATATGAAGGACGAAAGTTTAGCACCTTTTCACCGAAATCGAAGGAGATTGCCTCGGAAACAGCTTCAGCATGAATCTTCTAGTAAAGCCAGTCAAGAGGAATCCGCCGTCGTCTCCTGGTGGAAACGACCTACGAATCTCTTCAGCCAACACTTTCACTCGAAATGGAAGTAAGCTCAACAATTATGAAACAAGAGATTCCTCTAAACCCAACTTTTCTTCGTACAAATATTCTTTATTGGAGACTAAATTACTAAGAAAATTGTCACTCTTGGTCGTTTAGGCTGATCTAAACACTGACCTATGCGTTTTCTCACAATGCGATAGTAGGCCTTGCGAAGTCTTTAGATGTGATGGAAACATCTCAAACATATGCTCGTCTTCGCATTATACGAGGTTACTTATTTTAGATATGAGTAATATAGAGAAAACCAGTAATTTTCGATTAATTGTTTAGTCGGGCTAGGTCGCTTCAGGTCAATTAGCTGGTGTCTAGTCACCTGACATCCACAAAATCGGTGGAAGAAACAAAGTGAAATGTACTCACTCTATTTTATTTGGGATGATAAGAGGAATGGCAATTGAATTTTTCCTCAATGATATTAGTAGACCTTATGTTTCTATTGAAGTTCACGTAGACTTGCCCTCCAAAAAGTTATTATCATCCAGTCAGAAGTGAACTGCAGTTGCGACCTTCAGTGGATAATCTAGACAAATTAACCACTGCCCCACACTTCTACAAGTGCACTTTGGTAAATGTAAATTTCAAGGAAAGCTACACATTTTGCAACATCACATTCTGTTGAATTTGGTAAAACAAACGACTACATTACTTATTCTTGTTTGTACGTAGGTTTTCTAGACTGTAAGTATATCATATATATGAGATGATTTCACTCTATTTCGTTTTTCACATCTCATAAGCATAAATAGGCAATGCATTCGATTGATATAGCAAATACAACTTTGAAGATATGAAGACTAAGATGGTGTGGCCTTTGGTATGGGCGCAGTCTTCTTTAGATGTACATAAATGGCCTGACTTCGTCCCCGCAACTTGCTCGTGTTGCCAGGGTGACATCGTCATAAGTCCCTTTGCTTAGTAAGTATCATAATTGCCACCATCAGACTGTGGACTTGGGGCATTCTGAGAGTTGCTGAGAGTGACAAGACTCACTTATGCTGCCGACTACGATGCCAGAGAATGTACCAAATCCATAGTCTGATGTTGGGAATTATGATAACTTCTATAGCAGAGGACTTCGGACAAGGTGCGTTCTCCCAAGTCGCTGGGGTTGATTATGAGACCTTAGCGAGGTTGAAAGTTCAGTCTGCTCGTTTTGGTATTGAGTAAGTGTTCAAGACTACCAGTAAATCAGATAAATGAGATGTGTTTACTCTATTTCGTTTGCGGTGATGAAGGACTGATAGTTGAATTCTGCCACAATGACATGAGCAAAGCTGATTTTTCCCAGTGCATTTCACATGGCCTTGCTTTGCCCAAATGTGTTCTCATCCCGGCTGAGGTGTATTGCAGGTTCGACCTCGCCTAGCGGGAGTCGAACTAGGACAGTGCAGCGTGTAAGCGTAAACACAAGCTTGTAAGGGTGAACACATTTCACATATCTCATTGGTAATCTTGAAGACCTACTCACTAACGAAAAAAGTAATGTCGTCGAGTGCTATAGCGAATGTAAGTTTGCTTCATCGACAGTCCCAAGACAGAATGTGATATGGAAAATGGTTGACATTTCCTGAAATTCACATATGCCCCGTGGTCCAAGGAAACTCATGGCAATGTGTCGAGCTTACGCGCTGCAGTGTCATAGTTCGACTCCCGCTAGGCGAGGTCGATCCTGCAATCCACCTCAGCCGGGATGAGAACACATTTGGGCAAAGCAAGGCTATGTGAAATGCAATGGGAAAAATCAGCTTTGCTCGTATCATTGTGGGACAATTCAATTAGCAGTCCTTCATCACCTCAAACGAAATAGGGTGAATCCATCTCACATGTACGAGCAGACTGGTAGACTCCATAGTTAACTTATTCTCGACAAAAAGTCAAAGTGAAGTCGTCTGGTATGATGAGGCTTTCAGAATGGACATACGAAGAATAGGTGCTTTTCTAAGAGGCTATTTGTGCTTCATTGTGCGATAATCTTTGGGCTGTTTGAGGAGAGCTTACTTCCATTTCGAGTGGAAGTGTTGGGTGAAGAGATTCGAAGCTCGGTTCCACCAGAAAACGACGGCGGATTCCTCTTGACCAGCTGTCGATTGGCTTTATTTAAAGATTCATGCTGACGCTGTTTCCGAGATAAACTACTTCGATTCCGGTCAAAAGGTGCTAAGCTTTCGTCCGTCATGAATGTTTCAGTAAAGCCAAACGACAGCTGGTCAAGAGGATTCCGCCGTTGTCTTCTGATGGAACCGAGCTTCGAATCTCTTCACCCGCAACACTTCCACTCGAAATGGAAGTAAGCTCTTTTCAAACAGCTCAAAGATTATCGCACAATGAAGCACAAACAGCCTCTTAGAAATGTACCTCTTCTTCGTATGCCCATTCTGAAAGCCTCATCATACCAGACGACTTCACTTTGACTTTTTGTCGAGAATAAGTTAACTATGGA